AATTTTCTTAACTTATTATGAAGTATTCACACTTCTGTAAACAGGTTGATGAAGCAGCCTACGGTGGCAATGATATTTTGGACTACTCACATCCTGTAATTGGGAGATAGTTTGAGTTTACACTTTTAAATTTATTTTAAATATGTTTGAGCTTAAATCAGCGTGATTGTTATATGCAGATAAGTGATTCTCTTTTTACACTTGCAGAAGACACACATGGAGGAACAAGTAGAGGCAAGCCATTTGATCCCTTTATTACATGCCTGTTTTTTAAAAAGGAATTCTGATTTTTTTGGAGAAAAACTATGAGAAAGGAGCTGCAGAGTCTAGCTGCATCCATCCAAACTTGTTAGGATTTTGATCATGAGTAGAGCCTGCCTGCAGAGTGTTGATGACTTTTGAACCTGGATGATGGGTTCGTTTGAGTTCCTGATACTGTTCTCTCTACTGTTGTGTATGTTGGAGCACTTCCATAATAAAAACATTTGTAAAAAATAGAGTGCAGTTGGCTATAAGGCAGCCTCTTCTTAACCCTCTTTAAAGTCATAGAAGAGCAAAACAACTTAATTGTAATGTTTCTGATACGCACTTTGAGTAAAAATACAGATATTATGTATTTAGAACCAACCCCCCCTCAAAAAAACAAACAAACAAACCCAAACCCCTTGCTGTCAAGTTGATTCTGACTCATAACGACCCTATAGGACAGAGTAGAACTGTCCCATAGAGTTTCCAAGGAGTGCCTGGTGGATTTGAACTGCCAACCTTTTGGTTAGCAGCCATAGCTCTGAACCACTGCGCCACCAAGGTTTATTTAGAGTTGTGTGGAAATTCCTATTTTAAATTTTTAAAAATATCTCAGCAGAAGGTAGGGAGATGTTTGATCACATTAAAAATAAAAGAATCAGGACCATTAACTTCATTTATATATATACACACACACACGCACGCACGCACACATACATATATACACACTGCATGTGTGTATATATGTATATATATATTTAAGAATCATAAGGAAAAATCACTGACTAAAAAGAAAAGAAGCAGGTGCTTCCATCCTGCCTGCTCCATCTCATCTCTCTCCCCTTTTTCTGTTCATATCTTTCTTCCCACTCTGCAGAGGTAACCACCGTTAACAGTTTGCCACATGTGCTTATATAGATAGATCTTATGTTACATCTGTACCTACATGCTGTGCGTTTTCTTTTAAGCAAATTGTACTGAATTCAACATGTAAAATTTGAGAATTTTAGTACTAAACTCCAGAATAACTTTTTTTTTTTTTTTTTTAATATTTTATTGTACTTCAGGTGAAGGCTTACAGAACAGATAGTTTCTCATGTAACAGTAACACACATGCTGTTTTATGACATTGGTTAACAACCCCCCAGAATAACTTTTATTTTAAAAGACAGGCAAACTATTATTATATCTTTAAATTATAAGCCTTTTGTAAAGTTATCATTTTCACCGAAGAAACCACTCGCCCCTTTTAGGGGGATGTTAAATTCACATTGGTATTGGATATGCATATCGTGTGAATTTTAAGAACCCAGAATTGGAATGAGTATTATGTTTACAGATATGTCTTATTTAATATGTCAAGAGAGCTGCTTGATAGCAGAGTAAATGTCTGGAAGGGATCTCTGATTTGGTTTTTTCCAAGATACGGGTAGGGTGTGAAGCCTTGGCAAAGTGTTAGGAGCCTAGAGATACCCACAGCTGCTCTTGATTCTGTTTCTCTCTTCCCTCCCTCTTTTACTCAAGAGAGGACACTCTCCAGAGAAAAAGCGTAAAATAATAAACATGTTTAATAATTTCACCTGAGCTTTGCTTTCCTACCCCTAACTATCCATAGGCATACAGAAGTACAAATCAGGTCTAAAATACTTTATCAATGACAGATTTTTTTCTTGGTATTTTTGGATCTATTTTTTCTTTATCTTAGTCATTATGTCTCTTGTTCACCAAGAATTTTCTGCTTCTTGCCATTAGTGACTATTGAAAGCATGGCTGTCTTGACTGGATGCAGTGGTAGTGGAGTTTTACTCTAACCTAAACCAAAACCAAATGCATTGCCATCTAGTCAATTCTGACTCATAGCGACCCTATAGGACAGGATAGAACTGCCCCATAGTGTTTCCAAGGAGCAGGGTGGATTCGAACTGCTGACCTTTTGGTTATTAGCCCAGCTCTTAACCACTGTGACACTAGGGCCCCTACTCTAACCTGGCCCTAATACATTAAGTGTGAGTGTCTCCCTAATACTGAGATCAGTTTGGTTTTTTGTGCCTTTGAGTTCAGAAATCCTAATCTAAGAATGGGATGTAGGGGATGTAACCGGACATAGTTAACACAACAGCTTCCTGCACACAACACGTGTATCTCATGTCTCTTGTATACAAAGTAATTGCGCTGCCAGGCGTATAATGGTACAGTGCATATATAACCTATACTGCGTATATCTTGATAGTCATAAAAGTGCCTATGTTACTGGCTTATGTATGTACTGTATTTTCTATTGTTATTTTAATGTGAACTTTCCCTCTTTACAAATAAAAAGTTTACTGTATAACAGTGTACACTTCAACTCGTAGGCAGCAGCATCCAAATCGTGCATCTCTTGAGTGTTGTAGTGTTATCTATTTTTCTTTTGAAAATATTACCATGAAATGCATCATGGCTCCCAAAACCAGTGCTAATGATAGGAGCAGCAAGAGGCAAAGGAGACGTGTTGATTTGAAGTGAAACAAAGATTATTAATTAAACAACAGAAGATGGAACATCTGTGAATGCTATTGCTTGTGATTTAGGCATATTCACACAAAGTCCAAATCACGTACTGTCCTATTTCATAGAACATATCATGGACGTTGACGCATGACTGTATTCAAAAATCAATTGTATTTCTATATCCTCACATTAAACACCTTGGCTAGAGCTGAGAACAGTGTGATCCTTCTGCTGAGACCTAGACTGCAGGTCCTTATAACCCTCATCTAGCAGTCTCTTAAGGTAAGAGATTCATCACCCTTAGTCTTTGGCTTTCAGTTTCTCAGTCCTCCTTTAAATTATATCTCCAAGATTATGGTTGTTTCCGCTATAAGCTGGAGCTCTAGCAGCTTCCTGGACTACTTTGCCTTTCTAAAAGTTGTTAAATCTCGTACATTCAAATCTAAAACTTGAATTTAATAATTAGAAACAAACCATGTATCACCTTTTAGTTTGTCTATAAATTGCCTCCTTTACTAGATCCTAAGCTCTGTAAGAGTGGAGACTCATGTATTCATTCCTGTGTGCCAGACACAGCTCTAGAGAGGCAATATAACAGTGGTTAAGAACACAAGGACAGAACCAGGCTGCTTTGGTCAAATCCCATCCCTGCCACTTGAAGCTATATGACCTTGAGCAAGTTGGTTAGCTTTTTTGCCTCAGTTTATAGGGGAAGGCTAAAAAGTGGCAGAGATTATAAGAAAGGGGTGCAAATGCCCTGGCAGGAACAAACTTGCCATGTGTAAGGGGCTAAAAGAAAGCCCTTGTGGTTGTATATATTAGTGAGGTATGAGGGGAGGGACTTGGCTTGTTTTTGTCATGCTAGTTTTTATATTCCAGAAAAAAATTCAGTCTTTTGCACAGTAACTATTTGTTGATTATTATTTTCCCTTCATAAATGGACAGCGTCGCTTCAAGGAATCTTTCGCTAATCAGTGAGGCAGTGAGGTGTGGTACGACAAGCCCTGGATTGAGACTCAGCTCTGTGATTTCTGACATATCCCTTACTCTTATTGGTCTGTGATAAACATGCTTAGCACTTCAAGTTTTTGCTACCTAGAAGATAAACTTCAGTTGTCCAAGGTACTAATAGGATGTAAAGGAGAAATGAATTGGCTCTAGTGCTCCTTGCAGACTAACCCAGTGTCCACCTCTCAGGGCAACTCCTAGGCTCTCTTCATTCCTGTGGAGGCAGAAGGAAAAGGGAAGAAAAAGACGTCATTTTTTTTAGTGGGAAAATGACCCTGAAAGAAATTTGATTCTTGATGCTAATGAAGAGCTATATAGAAGTGATGGCTCTCCTCTTTATAAATTACTTTGGCTCTACCTATATTTATGGATTAATAGCCTGTATTTTTACAGGGTGGAGTACAATAGTCCCCAGCTTACAGTGTATTCTAGTCACTACAAACCACACTTACGACCATCTTTTTTCCCCCTACGTCTTATTGTTAGTACTGTGTACTATATACGATGTTGTAGTGCGTAATTTGCTGATGTTACCGTTCTCAGTTGTTTACTCACAGATAATTCAGTGTTATGATTTATAAAGATACTGATAATAAAAGGCAATAATGAAAGCCTAAAAAAAAACTATTCATCTTAAGTCAGCTGACTTAAATGGAGTCAGTCATTGGAACAGAACCCCATTGTAAGTCACGGCCTACCTATGTATGGTATCTTGGTATTAGAATATTTGAGAATATTCTCTCTCACTCTCTTTTAACCTATCCTTGAAAGTAAGTATTAAGGATCTGGTCATGGCTCTGAAGGTCATATGTAGTTCAGGGAGTAGAGAAACGGTCAGAATTGCCATATACTCTATAACCAAAATATAATTTGTGTAGATTTTCTTTGTTGTTGAAAGTGTGAAACCTGTCTTAGGTCATCTCAGTACTTTTATTAACAGCTGACTTAGTCCTCAAAAACTTGTCTGGTTATTGAGAGAAGACTTAGGTGTGCCAAGTCATTTGATAGCTCCCCTCATCCATGTGAGTGTTTTATAGTGTTCCCCAGTTAGGGTTACATGTTAGGTTTTCCCTTTGCTACTGTGGCTTGGTCTGTGTAAGACTTTTACTAACTAGAAATTCCTTTTGATGGAAGGGCAAAGGGTGGTTTTTTAATCAGTCATTACATGTGAGTTTTTTTTTTTTTTTTTAAGTTTCTAAGCGTCCACAGAAGTTGCAGAGAGACTCATTTGTTTGAATATATTTTCTTACATTTAGGTATAATTGAAAAGTGACCCTCCCTTCAGAGATGTCAAAAACAAACAAGTCCAAGTCTGGATCTCGCTCTTCTCGTTCAAGATCTGGATCAAGGTCTCGTTCTCGTTCATTTTCAAAGTCTCGGTCCCGGAGCCGATCTGTGTCTCGTTCTAGGAAGCGCAGGCTGAGGTAAGTGGGTGTGATTGTATATTGAGATAATCATTGCATCTGTCAGTGTCAGTTTCTGAAGATCTTTTGTTAGACTCTTTCCATGAGTGTCAAATGGATTGGGGGGCTGGCTTGAGGTGGAGGGTTGGGTTATAAGAGATCCCCAGTCTCTTCAGACACTACAAATTCAAATCAGCTTTGATTGCCATGCTTTTGCCTAATGCCTTTTCTCCTCTGCCAGCACGTATTATTTCCCATCCACTTTGGAAGAAAGAGCGTTTTATTTTTCTTTGAGCTGCTTGCTTCAAATCTTTACACCTGATTATTTTTTACTGAAGTATGTTTGGAGGCTTGGACAAAAGTTTGTCTGCATCATCAGCGAAGGAAAGGATAGCTAAAAGGATTAATAGTAAGATCACCATTGCAAGGGAGAGAAGCCTTCACCCACTAAAAATAATTAAACTTTACAAAACCTATCAGGAGTCATTTGTATACAGCCAGTGTGCCACAATTACTAACAAGCTGCATCTGTTTTGTAAAACACATCTTTAAAACATCTAAGAAACACTTTTAGACATCAGTTTGTCTTACTAAATGTGAAAATAATTATTTTGAATTTACTGCCAATATGCTTTAATTTAATCAGTTTTCACACCTTTAGGTGGATTTCCCTATTTCAGTTGTATCTTGGAATAGCGTCTTTCCTCTCTTGATTTGTTGTGAGTTGGGTTTTTCACTCTTTCAAAGTGTTTTAGTTTTCATTTGTGGGTAGATAAGAACCTTTCAGTAGATACAAGTTCCCTTATAGAGTTTGGAAATGGGGTCGATGAATTTAAGTACCTAAGGAGGGGAATCTTTGTACAGTTTCATCCTTTTTAAATCAGAATTATACTAGACGAGATCATTTCTAAGTTTTGCCACTTGGAAACCCTACTGTTTATTTCAGATGAGTATCTAGAATCCTTTTCCTAAGTGAATCGATTATGAAATTTAAAATAAACTACAGAAAAAGTCGCTTACTGAGCTTGTGTTCTTGATGGTTTCCATAGTCTATTGAACAAGTAGCTGGTGGTTTTTTTTTTTTTTTTTTTTTTTTTTACTACCAGCAAGAACAAGTTAATTCTTAAGTGGAATCTTGAGAAGCATCCCTGAGAATTAGTTTCAGACCAGAGGTCAAACAAAAAGTAGCTGTACCTAAATATTGATGACTCTGGTATAATGTAGAATGGGAAGTTTAAAATTTTTTGAGTTTTTCCCTCAAGCGGAAGAAAAACTACATATGCATACACATGCATGCAAATATATATATATATATTTAAATTTCCAAGGATAACATTACATTTTGAGGATAACAGTCCTAGCTCTTCTTTCTCTCTCTCGTGTTTTTTGGGCATGCACTTTCATACTAAACTTCATTTAAGCCCAAGGCTCTGGAGCCTGTCTGTTGCCCAACTCTGTCAGATTCCATATAAGTAAAATTCCATCCACCTCCTCACTCTTCAAAAAAGAAAGGGAAAAACCCACCAAATATATTTACATCTATCTCAGGAAATTGCTATAAAGCAATGGAACTGAGGAGAGATTCACAGTAACTCCTACCTTGCGCCCAGAGCCTTTTGATTTGGGTGATTTAAACCTCTGTTTTAGCTCATTTGGTTCTAAAGGTACTATTTTAAAACTTAATCTAGTAAATGGGAACTAAATAATTGGTTCAGAAACAACCAAAACTAAGAGACACAGTTAAGTGGACAAGAACCAAATTGAAAAATGTTAACCAACTCTGAAATATTTGTGACACCTCTAAGTCTGGGCAGATTTGTCTGGACAGATCTTTTTCCCTTGTTCTACAGATCATTTGGCATGGTCATTGGCTTGGCAAAGGAGGAAAAAGTATCTTAGGCAGGAATATGTGCTGAGCTAGGCCTAGAGCCACTTTATGTGACATCTTATACCTAGAATATTGTAATTTTGGAGGAAATTTCTCCAGTAGAAAATACGCTTTTATACTTGATTCTAGTCTGACTTCTCTGTTTTGTAGAAACAGATAAATTTGCCACCGAATGTTCAGTTTTTATTTCTGGCTTATCTGTTTCATGGTTTTTTTCTTTTGTTTTCCCTCTCCTGCAAGGAAAGTATACTACTCAGAGAGTTTAAGAAACCATGCCTTTAAATTAACTAACTGCTGAGTTCTACAGATTTGGAGAAAATTGATTGTTTCCTTGTATTTCACAGACTGTATCCTTTTAAGTGACTTCTCGTAAATAACTTCATTTGCAATCTGCAGAGACTCACATTCCTGCATCTGTGCAATGACTGCGGGTTTTGGATGCAGTGTGCCACAGGGCCCTCACTAGTAATTGGTAACAGAAGCAGCAGCAGCCTCTGAGGATGGGAACATGAATTAAACCCTCCTTAGTGCTGGTGGTGGATCACCTCCTTCAAGTATAGCCCTTTAATCTGGTCATATTCAGTCTCATAGCCTGCGTCTGCCTCTCCTTTCTTCTTTTCTTGTATTATTGTAACTGTTTTCGAATGAAAAAGTGTAGAAGGTAAGTTCTTTTTTAATTGTACTTAAATAGCAACCATTACAACCAGCAGGAAGATGTTAGCAACGTATTGGCCAGTTACCGTTGTTCTTGGGGTAGATAAAGACTCTGAGCACAAAGGCTGATAATAAATAGTGGAAAATCAATCCCACTTTAGATTAAACGGAATATAAATTTCTCTTTAAAAGTACTACTTTGTTTAGTTGTTAAACCTGGTACATTTGCTAAAAGGGATTATTTTCTAAAAACAACAAAAGTGCATCTGTTCCCAGTCAGGCTTGATATGAGAAGACCTGCCAATTAACTGATTTTTATTCTGTGTGTAAAGAAAATATTTTCGGAAAGAGTTTTCTCATAAATGTTACATATTTCTAGCCAACTACTTAGGAATAGTGACTCATGGGAGTTATAAAAGCCATAGTTGGCAAGTAGTATCCAAGAACCTCAGTGGATTTTTACACCAACAAATGGAGTTTTTGGTGGAAACAAAGCTCCCTGTCATTGAGAAGCCTGCCGTTTTTGAACATGTAGTTTTTACAAAGTTAGCTTACTGTTGAATCCCTGTGGTTCTGGAAGTGTGCCTTTGCTAAATTAGAGCTCTGTATCATTAAATGAAGAGGAGTCAGTGCTCGACTTCAGGTTGATTTGAAAAATGTGCAGACTTGGGGGGACCCTGTTTCTGTAATTTTCTTAGCCTCGCGTGCCTGGGCGCCATGTGGTCAGATAGTGCCCTCTTGTGGCACTTGGGTAAGATCATGTAGCTCAGCCATGGAAATTTGACCTCTAAATAGTGAAACCATTTCCAGGTCCCCAGTTTGGGGAAAAAAAAGTTTTGCTGATTCGATTTTAATAAATTCTTTTACACTCTTTCCACAAATCCCTATTTGTTGTTTGATGTAGACCTATTGTAACTTTATGTTTTACAGTACTAGGTCTTAGTGGGGACTAAGAAATGAGCCCTGCACAGAGAGGCCAGTCTGAAGGGAGTGAAGTGTTCTAACAGTCTAGGAGCCAAAGGACCTGAATAGTTACCTATCTAGCTTGCATTTCTTCCTCACTTCCAGTGACTTAGAGACCTGTAAAAATCCCCTGTACCTGTGAGACTCACTGTATTAAAATGGTCTGTGTTTAGTTTACTACATTAAAATTTTTATATCCTTTTGGGTCTCTTTAGAACTACATCTACACTTTAAATGTGCTGCAGTATTAATGGAATGATCTCATTGTCTCATTGTTCATTAAAGTGTTAATCCTTATCTGTATTTTTATATTTGGTATGGGCCACAAGTAGTAGGATTAAAAATTTAAGTTTGTATCTTTGCTTTGAAAACAAAACTAAAAAATGAATGAAATAAGAAATATGAGGGATCAAAAGGTTACCTTTGTAGGCTTTTCTTGAATAAAAATACTTGTGTCAAAAATTCAAATATTTCTCCCTTTCCCTCCTCTTTTCAGTTCTAGGTCTCGTTCCAGATCATATTCTCCAGCTCATAACAGAGAAAGAAATCACCCAAGAGTATATCAGAATCGTGATTTCCGAGGTCACAACAGAGGCTATAGAAGGCCCTATTATTTCCGTGGGCGCAACAGAGGCTTTTATCCATGGGGCCAGTATAACCGAGGAGGCTATGGAAACTACCGCTCCAATTGGCAGAATTACCGGCAAGCGTACAGTCCTCGTCGGGGCCGTTCCCGATCCCGGTCCCCAAAGAGAAGGTCTCCTTCACCAAGGTCCAGGAGCCATTCTAGAAACTCTGATAAGTCTTCCTCTGACAGGTCAAGGCGCTCCTCATCCTCTCGTTCTTCCTCCAACCACAGCCGAGTTGAATCTTCTAAGCGCAAGTCTGCAAAGGAGAAAAAGTCCTCTTCCAAGGATAGTCGGCCATCTCAGGCTGCTGGGGATAACCAGGGTGACGAGGCCAAGGAGCAGACATTCTCTGGAGGCACCTCTCAAGATACAAAAGCATCTGAGAGCTCGAAGCCATGGTCAGATGCCACCACCTACGGCACTGGTTCTACATCAAGGGCCTCAGCTGCTTCTGACCTGAGTCCCCGGGAGCGAAGCCCCGCTCTCAAAAGCCCTCTCCAGTCTGTGGTGGTGAGGCGGCGGTCACCCCGTCCTAGCCCTGTGCCAAAACCTAGCCCTCCACTATCCAGCACAGCCCAGATGGGCTCAACTCTGTCAAGTGGTGCTGGATATCAGGCTGGGACACACCAAGGTCAGTTTGACCATGGCTCTGGGTCCTTGAGTCCATCCAAAAAGAGCCCTGTGGGTAAGAGTCCGCCGGCCACTGGCTCCATGTATGGCTCGTCTCAGAAGGAGGAGACTGCTGCTTCAGGAGGAGCAGCCTACACAAAGAGGCAAGTATCTGGTTTCCCCTGCCTGGTTGTACTTTTATCTCACCAGCTGGCGTTTAATTGTAATGTGATCTAAGTTAGAGCTCTGATTAATGGTAATAAGGTAATTCTTATTTCTTAAACTTTTCATTAGCAAACTTTAAAAGCATTACCCAAGGAAACCTTTAGCTTAACTCTAGCTTTCCTACCTTCCTGAATTTGTATTGCAGCATAAAGTTTCTTTAGACTGCTCTGCAATGATGTTTTCACATTTAAAATTTGCCTTGGATTCTACCAATGTAAGCCAAAGAACAGTATAGATTTGTGGGTCAGCTATCAAAAAAATACGATCTTTGCCAAAATGAGTGGCCATTGGAGCTGTTAGACCCTCTAGGACCCACCATCTGCTGTGATCGAGCTGCATCAGCCTACCATGGTGAAGAGCTGCACCCTCACACCCTGCAGTTGAGGAGACTGGGCAGAATGGGAAAATCCAAGGCTTAGTCCAGGAAGGCCTTGTTTTAAAACCACAAGGTGGGTGTATGTCCCAGTAGAAGCCAACCAGGCTGCATATTAGGAGAGGACATGCCACTGCTTCCGTCTTTCTACCCTGGGGGACACGGTGAGTTGGAACATGAATCTTTTTTTGTGTATGGATGGATTGGGATGACAGCGAGGTTTCGGGAAAGTTGCATTGGAACCAGGTTATGGTCAAGAGGGACTGACTGGGCAAGTGGTTTCCCCTTTTTCTTTCTTTTCTCTTATTAGCATATTTTTTGATGGCCTACTATCCTTTAATTTTTCTTTGCCTTATCAATGCAATTATAACTTGATTAGGCTTTCTCCATTAATGTTACAAATGAAACGTTCAGAATCTGTACTTTCCAGCCTTCAGCAAGTCCACTTTAAAATATAAGTTTTGTTCCTTGCCAGAATTGTGACTCTCGTTAGAAGGCTTAAGCTTTCCCGTAAGAAACAGCATGATGATTTTTGTCCCCCAATTAACATGTATTTTGTTTTTATTTGTGTTTGCAGTACATTTCATACTTAGATCTTCTAGGTGACTTGCATCAAATTTGAAGTCTCTTTTGAGACTTGTGTTTCCAAATATGTGTTGTATAAAAGCAAAAACAGTCCAAGGTTAAACATTCTGTGTCAACTTTGCTGAAAGCAGATTTTAAATGACTGAGTGAAGGTTGGGTGAGACCTTAATTTTTTTTCCCTAGACCACATTAAACAGGTAAGTAGGTTTAGTTTTTTGTTTTTTGGGGGTCTGTTTTTGTTTTTAGTATCTAGAAATGACGCTTATTATTCTTTTTCGTTGCTGTGTAAGACACAACTCCATGGATCATGTTTTTCTTGTAAATGAGTAGCTCATAGATATGTGTAGATTGGTTTTTCAGAACTTACTAGAAAGTAAGCAAATAAAAAAATTCTTTTGGTAACCCTGGAATTCATAAGACACGTTCTGAAAATCTCAAAAATCAGTGACCATATGGTGCTATTTTAGAGCATGTTGCTTAAGAACCCTTTTGTGTATCTCCCTTGTGTTTTTGTAACTAGGTATTTAGATGAGCAGAAGACAGAGAATGGAAAAGATAAGGAACAGAAACAGACAAATACTGATAAAGAGAAAATGAAAGAAAAAGGGAGCTTCTCTGACACAGGCTTGGGTGATACAAAAATGACATCTGATCCATTTGCTCCCAAAACTGATGCTGAGAAGCCTTTCCGGGGCAGTCAGTCTCCCAAAAGGTATAAGCTGCGAGATGACTTTGAGAAGAAGATGGCTGACTTCCACAAGGAGGAGATGGATGACCAAGATAAGGACAAAGCTAAAGGGAGGAAGGAATCTGAGTTTGATGATGAACCCAAATTTATGTCAAAAGTCATAGCAGGTGTAAACAAAAACCAGGAGGAGGAGAAGTCAGGCAAATGGGAAGGCCTGGTGTACGCACCTCCAGGGAAAGAAAAGCAGAGGAAAACCGAGGAGTTGGAGGAGGAGTCTTTCTCAGAGAGATCCAGAAAGGAGGATCGGGGAGGGGCCAAGAGAAGTGAGAGTGGGCACAGAGGATTTGTGCCTGAAAAGAATTTCCGAGTGACCGCATACAAAGCAGTCCAGGAGAAAAGCTCATCACCTCCCCCAAGAAAGACCTCTGAGAGCCGAGGCAAAGGAGACTTTTCCACAGGGAAGTCTTCCTTTTCCATTACTCGAGAAGCCCAGGTCAATGTCCGGATGGACTCTTTTGATGAGGACCTTGCACGGTGAGATGTAGTCCTTGTTGATCCTCAGGGGCTTTAGTGGCCTAAGTGGTGTCTCCTAACCCCACTCCTTCAGGGCATTCAGGAACTAGGACAGGCCGCTCTTGTATTTCCCCTGTTCATGTTTCAGTGCTGACTCCTCGTGTCCATCTGTCTTCAGTGGAGAGAGAGTGTCACTGACTGATTATGTGCTAGGGGAATTACCAGAGAGAGAAGGTAAAGCGTCTTTTCAGTCTTTAGTGACTGGCTTTTTGGATTCCTGGGTCCATTCTTATTCTCTCTCTCCCTTTGTCCATCATCCCCACTCTCATCCTATTTCTTCTCAAATATATTTAACTTGTTTTTCACCTCTGACTCCATCAGGATCCATTTCTCCATTCTTAGCTTGTTCATGGAAGTCTGTATTACAGGCCTCCACCATCAGATAGCATAGCAATTTGAGAACTGAGGGAGACAGATGTGTGTACATGTCCTCCCTCCTCCCCACAACTTTGGGAAAGAGTGATGAGGCCCAGGCTGACTGTTCTTTGCTTGGAATAACATTTGCCCAGCCAACTGGAAGTCTGCCTGAGCAGCGTTCCAGCTGCATCCCACTCCTGGTTCATTGTGTGAGCTCACTGCATGGCCTTGGCTGGCCACACTAGCTCATCTTTTTAAAATACCTTCCCATCTGTTGTGTATGTTAAAGCCACCAGTGACCCTAACAATGGAATCTGTAGTTTAGCACTTCACCTCTCCCATTTGTTCTTATTAAAGATTCCCAGTGAAAAAGTGAAGATGGAGATTTTGGATACCGTTTTTCATAGTTACTGTGCATTGAGGTTGACTTTGAATTTATGTAGGAAGAGAAAAAGGAGCTTTACGGATAGATTTCAGTTCTTTGTTGGGGGGAAAAAAAGTAGTGCATTTTTATGGTTTAAATGTTCTGACTTCTGTATGTCTTATTACATTGGACCTTCCTATGTTTCTTTTTCAGACCCAGTGGTTTATTGGCTCAGGAACGCAAGCTTTGTCGGGATTTAGTCCATAGCAACAAAAAGGAACAGGAATTTCGTTCCATTTTCCAGCATATACAGTCAGCTCAGTCTCAGCGCAGCCCCTCAGAATTGTTTGCTCAGCATATAGTGACTATTGTTCACCATGTTAAAGGTGAGTCCAGACTTTATCTTGCTTTCAGCCTCCCCATCCACACTTTTAGCTTCCTCTAGTATAAACAGAAGCATGAGTGAGTGAGTAAGGGAGCTTTTTGGGGCCCTTTATCTGAAGTTTGGGTCTGGCTTCAAAGAAACTTCTTCCAGGGAGAAGTCTCCATTTTTTAATTACAGAGCTGAATATTTTGAAATGCTACTAACCTGTGATCATGAGAATAGGTAAAATCCTTAACATGAAGGTTTACAATGCTGGAAAAATTAGGAGGTGTGGAAAATGTTTTTTTCTGTCCCGTCTCTCTTTTCCTTTCTAACAGACAGAAGCGTCTGGCAGTCTTTTGCAGACCTTCTGGTGTGAGTTTCTTCCCCAAATCATTCTGCCATCCGTTGGGCAGATGGGGTGGGTAGATGGGGAAATGGCTGAGAGAAGTGATGGAGAAGCTGGGTTGGGCCAATGACAGGCTCAATCTCAAACTTAAACTCATGCAGGAGTTAGTGCTGTGCTTTAAAGGGAAGTAAGCTCCAAATTTCTCGTGTCCATGTCCTAAGACAAGGGAGCTACAATGGAAATCCAGTGCCTAACATTGGATTATGTTTGAACCAGCCTTTTTTCCTCCTCTTTGCAGTATGTTTGTTGTGTGGATTTGACTACTTTAGTCACATCTCTGTGGTTGCAGGTTCATGTAAAAGAGCTGAATATTGTATCTGCCTTTGGTGGCATAATGTGTTGTGTGTTTCTTTGAATCTCTACAGAGCATCACTTTGGGTCCTCAGGAATGACGTTACATGAACGCTTTACTAAATACCTAAAGAGAGGAACTGAGCAGGAGGCAGCTAAAAACAAGAAAAGCCCAGAGATACACAGGTGAGGTCCTCAGCCTTACATTGGAGGTTGTAATCAAAGACTTCACCTCAGATATTAAAATCATCTTGTTTTTGCCAAGTTTGGTGCATTAGCAGCAAAATATGGTAGGATCATCCAGACCGTAGGGTAGCTGTGGGCATTTGTAGCTGCGGGTGGAAGGGACGTGCTTTAATGACAACAATTTCTTGCTTTGGGCCTGAGGAAAACAGCCTTCTTGATAAACTTTCTGTATTATTCTTGGGGGCTGACAAATGGTAACCTGAGATCACTGCGGACTTTCTATAGGTAGAGTGAGTGTTAGTTGCTTTAAGCAAACCCTTGTATTACACATATTAATTCTTCTTTCGGAAGAATTTGTAGCAGGGTTAGGGGACTCGGAGGAGCTTGTAGGATTATCTCAAAGAGTTTAAAATGGGTTTAAAAAGTATCCTATTTGGTTGTGAAAGTCTACTCAGTAAATAGGGACTTTGTCTACAAACGAAAGTTGCCCTTATATTCAGTTCTTCAACAGTCAATTCTTGAGCCTGTTGCAGTAGGTAGGAGGGCCATATTTGTACAAGTCTAAGATTTAGGGCCTGTTGGGGTGTGTATACATAGTAGTCAATTTTTTCTTACCTAGACTTAATCTCAGGGGATTATGGGCCTTTATTCTAATCCCCAAGATGAAAACTGCTCTTTGAGGTTAGCAGGGCATAGAGATTTTTGATGTGATCCTGAGATTATAGGTATGGCTGTGGATGGGTCTGTCTTTCTGGGAGGGAACAAGAAATGCCTTTGAGTTCAACTAGAAAGTTGGGAATGTGTGTGTGGTGTGCTATACATATATATGCGTGTGTGTGTGTGTTATATGTATATGTTATGAAATATAATAAATCATAATAATGCATGAAACATAATAAAAAGGAATGGCCAGAATCCACTGACCAAATTAAGAACTAGAGTATGTTGTTTGGTGCTGTGGAGTGGATTCCCACTTATAGTGACCCCATCCATGTACGACAGAGTGAGACACTAGAGTATACCAGTGTTATATTCACACAATGGATATTATACAGTTTTTGTGTTTTCAATTTTAGGAGGATAGACATTTCCCCCAGTACATTCAGAAAACATGGTTTGGCTCATGACGAGATGAAAAGTCCTCGAGAACCTGGCTACAAGGTGAACTGTTGCTTTGATTAGTAATTCCAACAAAATGAGTGCGTTGGGCATGAACTTGACAGAAATGTGTTTGTTTAAATTACTCTCTACTTAAGTTTGTGTTTTTCTTTTAAGGATGGGCATAATTCTAAAAATGAACTACAAAGGGTTAATTTTTATTAAATGTATCAACAACCTTTGTGAAGTGGTTAGAATATGGTAAATGACCCCAAAGTCTATTGAGGTGAGCTTGAGAAAAAAAAGAGAGGAGTTTTGGAACAAGTGCCCATGATGAGAGAAGAAACTTTTTGTGATATTTTTCTGCTTGTAAGTATTATCAAATCAACTGTATACATGCACTCTTTCCAGCCATGATTTCAAAAAGACATGCATGTCAGAGGAGAGTGAAATATTCATTCTTAACTGAGTAGACTGTCTTTAAATAGCTAGTCCAGTTTTCTCCTAACATTGTACCATATCTATCATCTGTTGGTTACTGTGACTTTAAAGCTAAACATTACTTTGATAGCCCAGCTACATTTGCAGTGATGTGCACGAAAACACAGTTAAGCTTGTACGCAGTCTTTTACTATGAAATACTAGATTTGGGTTTTTAAAAATCTGAGTGTTGATTGACCTTCATTCACATATACAGTTGAATTTTAAAATTAGAGATTGCTGTTCCCATGCTGCTGAAATCTTTTCTAAAAATATTAATTTTCAAGTTTTCCGAACAAATTTGTGGTCTTGGTTGAATGTGCTGAGAGACACTCTGTGCAATCTCTCTTCTCTCCTGCCCCCCTTCTCTCTCTAAGTGTACCTACCAGCATGGCACTAACCATGTGAAACACAAGGTTTTGAAACATGAGAAGAAACTACATCCTCCATGTCTCAGAAAGCCAGCTCTTTAGAGATGTTGTCCACACTGCTTAAGGGAGCAGCGGCTGCCTTGGCCTTTTTTTCTTTTTTTGTCTTTGGAGGATGCAGAGGACCCATTTCCTCCCTCAAAAACAAAGTAATAACAAAACATAAACCTGCTTACTACCACTCCTGCTGTTAGTTGAAACTAAACTTGATTTCAACAGAAGTTTAGTAGTTTATGTAAGTAAAATATTGCTACAGAGTGAACTGCTCATTCCTTCCTCTTTTGGGGGGGTGATTTACTCCCATGAGATAAATCCTAGCATAAGAAGTCTCTGAAACCACTTGGCATCATTGGTCTCACGAACTTTTCTATTTCCCACAAATTTTTGAAAGCCGTTGTTACGATGTTTTTGGATGGTATGCAACATACCCTGTGATTATTAACACTCCCTAGAAAGTTAGCAAAAAAATTTTTTTTTTTTTTTTTTTTAAATAAACTTAGATCTGGTGTCACCACCTTATGAATTCATTATAGTTTTTTATATTCCTTCTCTAGAAAAGTTTCTCAGTATAACTCAGCATTTTGGAAGACTATTTAAAAATCCCACTGTCTCTCTTTGGACTCAGTACTCAGAGATAATTCCAGGTAGAATATAAGCCATGGGTGGCTGCTACAGTGTAGGTAGGGGAAGGATAACACGAGCAGCACCATGAGCATCTCCACTCTTAATGGTGACTAAGCCTGAGCCAGCCTAATCACCCACCTTCCAGAGCTGACTTTGGCCTTCTTAACTTACAGGCTAGCCAGAGTCATTGCTGGGCCACAGAGAATTCAGAAACAAAATGAGATCACTATAGCATTTTCAAAGGCTACCAGCCTCATTATTTTAGAAACTTGGCTTGTGCTCTGTGAGGGATCCTCAGGAAGTGACTTCTGTGGGACATCCTGCATCCCTCCCAAGCTTGGGTGAGGTGCCTCACATTCCTGGTGCTTCCTCCGCACCACCCCATTGGAGTAGAAACCACAGTTTGTGGGGTGGTTAGTTTGCAGCCTTGAATCCCAAAAACCTTATTTTTGACTTCTCTTTTGGCAGGCTGAGGGAAAATACAAAGATGATCCTGTTGATCTCCGCCTTGATATTGAACGTCGTAAAAAACATAAAGAGAGAGATCTTAAACGAGGTAAATCAAGAGAATCAGTGGATTCCCGAGATTCAAGCCATTCAAGGGAAAGATCAGCTGAGAAAACAGAGAAAACTCATAAAGGATCAAAGAAGCAGAAGTACGTAATCCCGTTTGTTGCCCCACTGAGACTGTTGAGTAGGATCTCATCTGCCCCATTTGGGTTATACACCAGACCTTCTGAGCCAGAGGACTTTGGGTTAGGAATGATAGCAACTTGTGTAGTTTCTTCTTTCATACAATGTACCTGTCAAGTAGGATCCCTAATTTGAAAACAGAATTTCTGCATCAAAGTAGGTGTGATCCTTGTTCAAAGAAGGTCTCCTGGGAGATTGGTGGTTAATCTGGCTCGAGGAATGGTGTTGAGAATCATTTGGGAATTTGCAGTTGTTTTAGACATGTTCTTTGACATGTTCTTATCAGAAATCTTCATGGTGGCGGTTATATTTTAGAAATGACTCAGTTATTGTCAGGTAATAACATTCTGGTCAAAGAAACAGGGTAGAACTAGATAGGACAAGATTGTTGATCTTAATTGCCTTTTAAACAACTAGACAGTTCCAAGAGAGGTGTTCAGATATTCTTTAAACAAAGGTAGCATTGTCAAACTTGGTAGGGCAGCATTCATGCCAAGATCGTGATGTATTTATTTACATTTTTGAAAGTTCCACAACTTCTCAGTCATGCCTCATTAAAACTAGCAGAGTTGAAGTGCCACACCTTCCTGTAGAAGCAGTACTGCTGCTGTTTCTGAACTTCAGCTGGCAGGCATTTTCGTATTCATTTTCTGATAACCCTTTGAGGTGAGTTGAGCAGTTGGTGTGATGCCCATTTGAAAGATGAAGCTCAGCTCAGAATGACTTCTCTAAGATCACACAAATGTGAGCAGACATCAAAACTCAGATCTTCCTTTTTCCTTTGTCTCCAGTTCTGCTGTGTTAGTTATGCATTGGGAGCCCTGGCAGCTTTCAGGACTGCCCCTGATAATCCTCCACAGGGAGTACACGTGGTGGTGCCTCAGTCTCAGGGCTGCCCCTGTAGGAAAGGGAGCAGAACCCCTGGAACGCCTGTCTGTACCTCTGACTTGCTGTGGTGACTCTGAAGCAGTCTTTTTACAGCCCTAATTTTTTTGTTGTTTCATATTAAAATACAGCACTGCAGTTTACAAGAACTCTTCTTCATATAACTAAAGAATGATGCATTTAAGGTCAGGTCACACAGCCAGTAAGGGGATGCTAGGACTCAAATCTTGGGCCTTTTGAGTCTTATTTTTGAAAACCTATTGAAATAGCACTCATTTTTAATGGAGTTAGAGTTACACATCTGTTATAAGAATCCTGTAACAATAACTTAGATTTTTCCCTTTTTGTAAGTAGATGCTAGAAAGAGTAAGATTCAAATACCTGAGTCCTTGACCTTTGTGTCTGTGTCTGTGTCTGTGTGTGTGTGTGTCTGTCTGTGTGTGTGTGTGTGTCTGTGTGTGTGTGTGTGTGTGTGTGTGTGTCGCTTTTCATAATGGAAAAAGACTAAGGGAAGGGAGGACAGCAGTAGGTTACTGATACTTGGCTGGCTTCTCCCTAGGATGATCCCTAACTCCTGGGACCCAGGCTTTTCTGCCACCTTAGAGGCAGCCTCCTCCGCTGCGGCATGGCAGGGATGGTCTCTAGTAGATAAACTGTGACTCATCGTATTAAGCTAATTTGCCTTAGTCTGTAATTTCCCCCAGATAAAGGAAGGCAGATAACTCTGGGAAGAGTTTCTCCTGGTCTATGCTTAGTAACACAACCTGTTTGGGCTCAGTGGGAGGTGATATGTAGAATCGTGGTATAATTAGTCAAAGCTAGGTTTGAATCCAGGTTCTCCTCAGTTCTGCCCGAGTCGGCTATCTATAAAATAAGGAAAATAATGCCGAATAATCATAGTTGCCATTTATTGCATACCTACTGTGTCAGTGTAAAGTGTTTAAATTCATTGTTTATTTAATCTTTAGAGCAATTCCATAAGACAGGTGGTAGTATTATCCCTGTGAGAAATACAAGTGACATAAAGCACTGACAGATGACAGCATATAAATAAAGCCTCTGGCACAGTACCGCATACATCGTAGCTCTCAATGCAGTGTTTCCTTCTCTCTTCATAATTCACATGTGTGGGACTGAGCTCCTGGAAGTTATGGACTATTTTGTTCCTCTTTCTGTGTCCTGTGCTCATTGTAGTCTCAGGCATAGGTGTTACTGAATGTGACTGACAGAATTGGGAGGAAGCTCTCTAGGTGCCTGGTTGGTTTTTTAGGTTACTCGTCCTCAGTTTTTTTCATCACAGATATACTCCTGGTTACCCTTTGCCTCTTATCCATGAGACTCCAGCCAAGGGCTGTACTTCATTGGCCTGTTGACCTCCCTATCTCTTCTATCTTCACAGGAAGCACCGGAGAGCACGAGACAGGTCCAGGTCCTCATCCTCTTCTTCCCAGTCATCCCACTCCTACAAAGCTGAAGAGTACACTGAGGAGACAGAGGAGAGAGAGGAGAGCACCACAGGCTTTGACAAATCAAGACTTGGGACCAAAGATTTTGTGGGTCCAAGTGAAAGAGGAGGAGGCAGAGCTCGAGGAACCTTTGTAAGACCCCACCCCCTCCCCTTTTCTCCAAGCCCCTTGTTCCCACCAATTCTGGTGATGTTTCACCAGCACACCAGTTTGTTGCCTTTTGTATAACTAATCTAGTCTATAGACCCCCGAGTCTGCAGCCCCCTCCCATACCCCCTAGCCTTTTCATTCTTAGTTGTTTTTCTGTCTGTAATCACTTAGCTTCTGGTCTCAGCTTCCCCACCTATGTCATGCTGTGTGTGGAGAGGGCCGTGGGCCATGTTTATCCTTGGTCTGGGGTATAGACTTGAGTTGGGATGAGTTGAAAGAGAATGGCTGGAAAACAGTGCCAGACTGGTTTGGGAATGACCAGCCTGTGACCACAGGACAGCTCTCCATTCTGTGCCAGAAAAGTGTTTGAACAGAATGCATGGAATTGTTTTTCTTTATTGCTGACATGACCCTTTGTTTCCATTTATTGCTACAGCAATTTCGAGCCAGAGGGAGAGGCTGGGGCAGAGGCGGCTACTCTGGTAACAATAACAACAACAGCAACAATGATTTTCAAAAGAGAAACCGGGAAGAGGAGTGGGACCCAGAGTATACACCCAAAAGCAAGAAGTATTACTTGGTATGTGTTTGTGGATAACCAGAAAGGGCCAGAAGGCCTTTGGCTCCCATAGTAGTTGATACCAAAGCCTTAATCAGTCTGTTCAAAGCTATGATTGAATATGTGTGCAGGCGCATTTGCACACATGACAGTGAAGAAAGACGCACTTTCTAAGGAAGGGAATCTATCTCCAAAATGAAATGTCACTAGGGTTTCTCTCACCTAAGCTGTTGGTCATTTCCAAGCACCTTCTGGGCCTCTCTTTCCTTCTCTAAGTTTGGGTCTCTTCTAGCCTGGATTGCCTAGCCAATGAGTGAGCTCTCTTTGCCTTGCTGTGTAAACAGCAGGCTCAAATCCAAGCAGATGTGATTCTGACTCTTGTACCAGGGTGGACTTGCAGCTGAGTCTCTTGTCCTCCACCAGAAGGGTATGGGGCTGTGTTGCCAGTTGCACAGCTAGGAAACATGCTGTTTGTTGTGTGGATGACTGCATAGCCACTTTTGCTTTTCCAGGCCTGCTGGGAGCTGCTGTGAGGCTCCAAGCGGGCCCTTGCTCTAGGGGAAATTAGTTAGCCTGGCTCAGGACAAGTGCTGGAGTAGGACGGCCTGCTATAGGGGGAAAGACTAAAGGCCATACAGGACTCCCCCCCGCCCCCCGCCCGCCTGTTTTTTTTAGTCCCCCCTTGCCACCTGAAAGAGAGCATTGTCAGCCTGATTATTTAGGCTGGTGAGAAAAAGCTGGCACTTTAGCCGAGCTGACCCCAGGAGCCAAAGGCTGGGTGGGGTATAGGTGAGGGTGTTTTAAATTCTTCGAACCCATGGGGCTGATGAGGTAACAGCAACTTCTAGTTTTCAAAATGCTTTCTCATATTCTTTCATTGGACCCCCTTCTATCTCATGAGATCATCAGAACAGGGATTGAGAAGAAGGCTACTTTTTCTACTCTGCCACAGTTTCTCCTTGCATAAACCTAGAGAGGACAGATACAAGATGGGAGACTGGGTTCTGGTCCTGCCTTGGCCACTAGCTAGTTTCAGACCATGAGCAGGTCATTTGGGTTGTTTTTGAGTTGGGGGGTGGGGGTGGGTCAGGAAGAACTGGAGCCCCAGCTGTGTATTCTAAGTGTCACCTGTCTCACAGCCCAGAAGAGTCATGGTTTCACATTTTGGTGTCATTGGCTTTCTCAGATCCATCCTTTGAGAGAGGGTGTACTAAATAAATCACTCGGAACCGAAAGTTCCTAAGCCCCAGTTTCTCCATTTGCATACTGGGGGTGATAATGATAGGTAATGTGAGGGTTAAATGAGATAATGCATGTAGAGGTCTTAGTTCGGTGCTCAGTGAAGGTTTTCTCATCCTCATTATTACAGTGCCCAAGCTGCTGCCTATGGTAGAATTCCTAAGGCACCCAAACGAATGTGTTCTTCACTCTGAACTGGTGGCATTTTTGGAATGAGGGATAGGGAGAAATGTAGAAGCAGTAAAAGACTGGGTTGGGGCACAGGTTATTTTGGAAAGGGACATTTGGGTGGGTGTCAGAGAAGAGGGCTGTGGCATTGATAGCAGTTCTCTTTCTTCTTAGCATGACGACCGCGAAGGCGAAGGCAGCGAGAAGTGGGTGAGCAGGGGCCGGGGCCGAGGAGCCTTTCCCCGGGGTCGGGGCCGGTTCATGTTCCGGAAATCCAGCACCAGCCCCAAATGGGCGCATGACAAGTTCAGTGGGGAGGAAGGGGAGATTGAAGACGACGAGAGTGGGACAGAGAACCGAGAAGAGAAGGACAATCTACAACCCACAACCGAGTAGGGGCCACTCTGACAGGAGCCCCTGCCCAGGGGAGAGAGGCGCTGGGAAGATGGCTGGTGAGGAGCTAAACAGGAGCCTCAAAAAGATTCTGAAAATACCCACCCACCAACCCACCACCAGCCTTGCAGAATCCTACTACAGCCAAAAGCATCCCTGGCGCTGTGTCCCACTGGACTGAGGAGGCTGGCCTTGGAGCCTGGGGCCAGGCCCAGCTCTTGAGCAAAACACAACACATAATGGGCTTTAGCTGTGTTTCTCATTTGTTGTTGGTGTGTGGGGTAGGGGCTGGGGTGGGGAGGGGAGAACAATGCTTGGATTTTGGTTTGTTCCCTATTAGAAACCAACAGTTTTTACTTTGATTTCATTTGGAGCTAAGAGGAATAATTTGATTATTTTCGATCTCTTCCTCCCCTTCCTGATTTTAAAAGCCCTTCTTTTTTTTAGGCATATGTAGTAACATTAGCAAAAAAGATTTTAATTTGGGCAACTTTGATTCTTAAAACAGAAAACAAAGCATGTGAATAAACATTTAAGTGTTCACCTCAGTTTGGGACCAAACTGCTTGGATCTTTGTAGAAACTGGTTTTGTATGTCATGGAGGAGTTCAAGGTCTTTCTGACCACCTTGTGTTCCCCTTTTCTGCGTAGCCACTTGGTGGCTACTCCTAACCACACCCTACGCTGCCCCCTCCATCTTTTCTGATTTCTTCTGGGCTGGACTGCCCATCCTCCACCAGCAGCTCCAGTATCCCAAACTTTCTAGTCTTGCTGATCCTCTCAGCAACCGGGGTGGAAACTGGAGGGCAGTTTCTGGTCTGTTTTCTAAGAAACTTCTGAATTCTATTATCTTTACAAATATAAGATGAGAAAATAATTTTTTCGATATTTTTTATTAATCTTTTTATAAAGAAACTCCTATGATCGATTAAGGAAGGTGGTCGTGGCTGGGTGGTTCGTGGGGTGGTTTTTTTGTTCAGTTTTTTT